ACAGAGTCAGAAGTCGAAAGCTGGCTCCAAGCGACCCTGAAAATCAGCACGGTGCAAAGACGTGTCTTACCTTGTTTTGTGCATCTATTACTGACCATGTTTGGGCGAACAATCCAGGCCAGCAAAGGAGTGGTTATGAAATATCAAACACACCAGTATTGCATGAAAGACATGGCAGATAAATTCTCTGCAATAGTATGCAAATGTAGTTCCTAATTTAATTATTTGGTTCGCAAGAATGCAATTGGCTATCGTTGCCTAAGGTCACACCTCTGCGTATAACTGCACATATGCCGGACTGCCAGTCTGGCAAACCTACCCAAACAGTTTTACATGTCAAGAATTACATTTATGCCAATGATACGAACAGGTGTTTTAAATATCCACAGTCGTCCTTAAAACTGCCATTTGACACTCCGACGTCGTTTAACCCCAAGTGACCCTAGCAAGAAAATATCATTCCGACTACTAATAGCTTCCATTTTTGACACCACATTCAGGTCTATCAATCACTACCTGTAGCAAAATTTCGCAATGTCTTTGTTCGTGGAGACTAGGGTAATGCTCATAGAACACAGTTTCTTCTCTCATTTGAGGACGGCAGCATAGGTGATACAAGCTCCCAGATAGAAACGGCCTTTGAAAACGGGGCATCAGACGCTTGGTTATTCACAGTTCACTGTAGCTATGTAGGAAAAGCTGAAACGCAACTTCACAGATGCAAAGTGAAATAAAGGGATTGTGCGGTAAAAGGCTGCAATTTCACTCGCAAACAATACGAGTCATAGTCTATAAGAGGTTGCATGATAATAAAATCCTCAAGCCATCCATGCATGTCTCAAGAGTCTTGACAACTGTCGACTAACCATTTTGAGGCTGTTATTTTGATGCTCTGCTTCCAAACATGCTTGGACCAACCACTCATCAAGGCCGAACAAAATCACGATTTCAGTCAGGGTACAAAATCCAATTTACTGATAATCAGTTGGGGAAGTCAGATTTACTAAAACAGTTTATTTGTCGCATTTTCAGACATTCAGCCAGAATGCATTTTAACCCCTTGCTTTCAGCAATTATATTTGCCTCTAGTGCTAAAGTGAACGGCTTAAGGCGTCTTGGCATGACCTGTCATGACGACGCTTGATACAAAAAGGGCCGCCCCAATAACAGCCTCTTCCCAGTGGCGCATTACTCGCGTTGATCCAAGCTGTAAGCTTCAGCCGCAGTAACCGCACAATTTACCTGATGCTCCAATGAAAAGGTGGTAGCCATTGACAGTTGATTTCAACTCTATCTACTGGGTCCTCCAAATACACATAAAAAGCCTCTGAACAAGAATTATTTTTGGCAACTGCATCTGATTGAGATATGCACGCATATAATTTGTGGAAGTTTTTGAGAATACCGAACCTAGCGAAAGAAAGACCCGGGGATAGATTAGCCATTTGACAAGGATATAATGACGTAACAAAATTTCCGTACGGTGAATCGCGCCTACTAGGAAGGTATATATTATAAAGTTGTCCAACTGAATGTACATGCACAAGTATTTTCGCCAAAAAAGAGCATTATGTTCAGTGCTATTTCAACTTCTTTCGTTCCGTCTCGTTAGAATTCTACGGAAAGGCAACAGATGACATAAACCTCTCCGATTAGCCCAAGTCTCATTATAAATAGCGATGGTGTGATGTTTGTTGGACACATTTCTGCAGCAAGATGAACACTGAGGTGGGGCTCTGGCAAGGCGCTTGCAACAACGATGTGAAGACGCTGGCTGAAAGAGACTCATGTCAAACGTTTTCCAACTGCCTGATCAACCTCAGCCCCTGGAGCAACAAAACATATCAACGAAGCTTAGGTCGGACGTTAAGCATTGAAGAGAGAGAAAAGGCAAAGGGCTTCTGTGTTTGAGGAGTTTTCCATGCTCATTTTACAGAACAAAACGGGTAATACAATTTGAAATTGCAACAAAACTGGATCCAATACGATGGTTCATTCCAAAACCCTTCAATTCAGACATTTCCTGCACACCGAAAATAAATCATCATTAGAAGGTAAGGGCAACCCGAAATGCCAAGGCGCGAAGGAATTTTACTCAACAAAGACGATGCAAATTACCCGGCTTCCTTTGTAACTCTTCCATAAGCAGTGGTTGCCATTTATTGTGTGGTCTGAACTGGTAAACCTCCGCTAATGAGGATTACCTGAAATCCATGTTTTTTTGAATTTTTTGCTAATAAAATCAGAACGTTCGCAGACGCGAAGTTGTCGGACAAACTGGAAATGTGCTGCTGATAAAGCTCATTCTTTGTGTATTGAAATTCGAGACGTATAACGTACAATGAAATCAAATTGCATTCCTACCCAAATTAATTTGTTTCAAACGGACTTTGGTGCAACCGTTGAAAGTGAATTAGGATGCATCAATTCAGTCACCAGTACAGCCTCCTTTAGGTTGATCGCTCTCCAATTTTTGCTCTGCAATCAACGCAATTTTATTCTCTGTCCTGTGGTTAGTGGCCGACTGATCTTCACTTAATCAAATGAACCACAATGCTAGCTTTCCGAAAGTCGCACCCTGTAATGCTTCTCTTCGCCGAACTAACTCCGAACCATTGGACTTGGTTCAATGCCACCGCAATGGTTTTTAAGACAACTAAGCGTACCAGAAGGCAACCGTCTACAGGGCTGCACCAGCTTCCATTCAACACTACGAAGCCTCATCGCATTTCCGCCAACTTCATTTCTGCCAATTATCTCGCAGTGTTATTCTAATAAGCCTGAAGTAACTGAGGAGAACTAGGACCTGACCCAGGCAGAGGCAAGTGAACGCTACCAACGCTGCCTCGTCTATTTTGTCAATCGGGTAACGATTTAGCACACTTTGACATCAAAACAAAACCACTATTTCATGTCGTCGTGGCTAGTGTGATGACGTCGTACCTAGTGGGTCCAATTCTGTTAAAAAAACTGGCAGAGAGCGATCGTCCAGAGGCAGCCGACTGGGGACTCGCAAGCCTGGACAGCCTGGCGTCGTTGATCGCTTGCCCGTCACACCCTCATCCCACTGGCCTGGATTTCGGACTGCTACGCTTTCCTCATTAGATTGCTTATTCCTTAAGGTGAATTCTAAAAAGGTGTACAGCCCCATTAGCCTCTTAGGATAAACCACAACGAAAAGTAATCAATGTATTTATGAACGCATTCATTAGGAAAATCCACAAGAGATTGTTTATAAAGGAGCATGCGAAACACAAGTATGACTTGAAGAAAGATGAGTGTGCTACTTAGAGAGTAGAAACTAGTTATTCATTAAAGTGTCGGAGCTCAAAATATGAGAATACTCTCCCTCTTATGGCCAAGGGCAGTGAGACTTGGCACACAGGCATTCTGTATCATCATTGGCGGACCACAGAGTAAATTCACGGTATTCTCCCCAGCTGGGTAGCAGTGTTCTTCCAACATCTTTTGATCCACGTAACCTACACTATAGTTCCAATCTGAAATGAGACAAGAGTATCACAACTTTGTGATTTGACAAATGAGCTGGCACTTGAGTACCTGGAGACAAGTGACGCAAAGCACACAAGCCCAGCATGGAAGAAAAAGCTTTTTACTACGGTCTATAGATCAAACCGCAACATAGTTTGGGTAGTAGTACTCAAGAGACAACCGATGGTTCTGTAGCTGCAACTCTGTGCATTTTGCCACAAAGGGGCAGTAGCAAATGCTAAACACGTAAATAAAAATAATTCGGCTATGCAAAACGTCCCGAGAGCTTTAGTGTGCTTTGTGAAGCAAAAACGACTTACTCTGTGGTGGGTTTGCCACTGTGTACCAAATGCGAAACTGGCTCTGGTTTTGATCCCGAAGTTGTTCCAGCTCATCTCGCATCAGAATATCACTTTCAGTCTATAGTAAATAAACAGGCCTAAAGGCATATCCAACATCAGGGAAGACTTGGTTGTGCCTTAGGACCCAGAAATATGTTGTTTAAAGGAAATGGCACAAAATATATCAAACAAACACCACCTAGATTTAGTTATTTTAAATTTTAAAGTTAAATTGTTTCCAACAACCATTTACCGACACTAAAGTGGAAACGATTGTGATATTATCTTCAATCCTACAATGTG